GTGTTTATTATAGACCACCGACTTACCTACGCTTCGTTTGGGTGCGTCTCTAGGTACGTTTTAATAGATATGAATAGTTATTGCCAGTGCACCTTAGGAGAAAGACTTATGCTATTGCAGATTTCTCCGTAGGCTCTATTAAGAACTACAATTTTCTAGTACATTGTTTTGATGTATCTCAAAGTTAATGCATCAAGTTTAAGCCACCGTCAGACGTAGTTTTTTAAGGACGATTAGCTAGTTATTGTGTTTTCCCGTAGGTTTACTACAAGATTATCTTGTAGCACAAGGTATTCTAGATGTTGACCCGAGAATTAAGTTAGCAGTACACTAAATTTTATTAAAATTGGTTGAGTACTTTTTCAAACAAATTAACAAAAAACTTAACAACTATTTTTTGGGGTCTATATTTTCTGTACAGATTTCGCTAAGTTACTGTTTCATTATATGTATAGATTTCTATTTTAACAAGACTAAGCTCGAATGTTATGGCGACACCTAAGACCTAGGTACGTTATCTGCATTAGCTGTTAAGTCAGATAGAAAACATTTTAAATAAAACTATCTTTTCGGATTTTTTCGCGGATTTATTTGGATTTTTGGTTCCCGACGTTTCAGATAGAAAACCTTAACTAGTAACTTTTTCACTTCTTAGCATCTTATCAGCTTCCCTTCATGTTTCAAAATTTATAAACAATTTGTACGGGTTTTTGTTGTTGATTCTAGTAATATTTTGCAGGTTTTGCGACTTTAATCGTTTTTAGCTAACCCAATTTGTTTAGGCAGTAACCTCGAGTGATGTTAAACAATCTCCATATTTATTTTCTTCAAGATCACTTGAGATTCAAAGACCTTTAAAATATTTAAGAATAAAAAAAGGTACGTTATCTATATTATACAAAAGATTATTTTGGCAATACAATTAATGTTTAATCGATGATGTGAAATTAAAACCTGACATTAAATTATATGTTACATTCTATTTAAACACAAGTGCACTCTCTATTCCTATCACTCTCATACTCATACATATAAAAATGAATCCCTATTTCCCTTTGTCACGCCATCACGCGTGAACGGCTGGACCGATTTAACTTTTTTTTTGTTGTGTTTGTTATTGTTAGGAGAAGGTTCTTATGAAAGAAAAAATTGAAAAATTAACGAAAAAAAATTAAAATGTATATGGCTAACGCTGGCTAATAACTATTTATATCTATTTAAAACGTAGCGACGAATCCTAGCGAAGCGAGGGGAGCCCCTAGTATGTTATGGAAACGGAATAATCATAATATTATATTCTAGATATTACATTTACACGTACACTAGACTATATAGTATACATACATATCCTACTATATTGATTGCAATAAAAAATTTAGTTCTATTTATTAAAAAAAATACGTATTTAATATTTTATATTCTAGATAATTATTATTATTATAAGCCTGTAGTGTCCCACTGCAGGGCAAAGGCCTCCCTACTCTTTCTCCACTGCTCCCTATCGTTCGCCATAATATGCAAATTAATGCTATTATCATATTGTAAATAAATGATAAATTGGTAGAAAGTAATACACACTGACGCATCTAATATCTGATTAAATTCAGTAATTAGATTTAAAAATTGAAGACTAAACTTATTTTAAAGTAATGTTAATTAAAAATATATTTGATAATTAATCAACCATTAAATATCAGATAAACACTTATTATGAACAAATGTAGTATTAATAAAAAGAACTAAAAAAGTTTTATTTGTAACGGTAAATTCTAAGATTTCGCAAATTTTAAGACAATTTTCTACTCTACCTTCGTTTTCCTTTTATATAATAGGTAATTAAACCTTATCTCATAATGCCGCCGCAAGGAATGTAACAAATGCCGCCATTACTCACCTGGTTGTTTAAACTTTATGCCAAAAACTTTTTTCTATATCACTGCACTGACACCGATCCCACTCTATTCATCCAAGAAGATACACATTTTCGAAAAAGTTTTTATTAAACTAAAAAAAACATAAAAATATGATTTTTTTTATTTAATAAAAAAATAAAATATTACGTAAAAATAAATTCATTCGTTTATAAATAAAATTTAACTTTAATATATGTGACCAATAATCGTTCACTCCGATTTTATTTTTTTTAATCGCAAGACAATGGCAGTACGAGTACGTGCGTACACCCCAGCGGTCGAAGTGTGACTGGAGGGAAGCCTGAAAGTTGTGTAGGTGCAACAAGTATAAATACATACATCCTATACGACCCTTGATTTGTGGCTAGAAACTTTTCGTACCGGAGCTTTGATATGCAGGAACAGTTACTTTGAATAACTCTTAACGTTTATAATAAAGTTTTTTAGAATCTTTCTTATGATTTCTATTTATTTTTTCCATATATAGTACATTTTATTATTATTTTTCAATTATGATAATATTGTTTTATGAATAAAATATGAATTTTATTTTAATGTTTTCAAATCACTTAGGTTTCTCAAACAGTTTTGACACACAACATTAATAATTTTTAAACAACTAAAACTTGCAAACCATCTATTCTAAGCATTGCCGTAAATATATCACATAGGAACATGCACTTATCTAGTTGAAAATTAATTATGCTTGCATGAATTTTATATCTAACAGGTGGGTCGATACAAAATAAATGATATATTTCTCTTATGCATCTGAGACGATTCTGTTAAAGCAGAATGTTATTTATTAACTTTAAATTTCAATCCTTTGAACAACTTATTATTATTTAGTATCAGGTACTGTTTGTTATTTATACTTTATTTTAAACATATGCCATTGCTGCTCGGTTTGGTTCAATAAGCGACTACCGAAAAGGAGAGGTACATGTAGAGATACATTAAAAAGTTTTTATTTATATTACGATGTCTGAATTTCTAGATACATTTTAAGGGTTTCTTTGTCAGTTTCTACCTTTTGCTTATTCCTTAAATACTTATGAAGAAAAAATAAATTTAAAACTACATTTTACTGACTAATAATTTCTATCCGCTGTTCTTTTAACGGAAAGAATACAAAAAAATCTACCAGTGCAATAGACCTATTTCTAGAATGCGACCAATATCAAATTTCATCGAGTTGTTTCGAATTGGCCGTAAAAATAATATAAATTATAATAAAAATACATGTAATAAAATAAGAATACAAAAATAAAATAAAATATAATATCCATAATAATTTACGTTGTGACTATAGTACCTACTCGAAAATAAGTTCTCTAGATTGCACGCGGACCGCCATTGTGATGAGTGGCTGAAATAATATTGAATCGAATGCATATGTACAATACACAAAGGATAAAATTTATAAAGCCTATCCATTTACAAATCTCATATTCCGTTATACGGAAAATCCACATTAAAGAACTAAAAATGTTTATATAAACAGAATTGTTTGTATAAACATTGTGTTTTGAATTTTTCCTATTTCATATACCTGCGTTTTTATAGGTATCGTAAAATGTACGTAAAATCTTCGAAATGATGAGTAAACTACGCGACTTGTGTAAATATTTTTTTCTTACATGCACAATTTATATCTATTTTTTTTGTACTTATTACGTTTTTAACTTTTAAGCGTGTATTTTAAGAAATATCCAACATTACATTTCGTTCATTATAAAGAGCTCTTTAGTGAGAAAGTTTAATAACCTATTTCGGTCCCTAGTACTATCATAATTGGGTGCAAGAAGTTTTATGCAACAAACATCTTTACAAAACCTTGTTTATAATATTATTACAAGTGATTTCCTGGTTTAAGAGTATGGATAATGTTAAACGATAGCTCTTGATTAGGCAATCATATCTGACATGAAATTTTTTAGTCAATACCTAAATTTATTTCTCAACATTACAATTAAAATAATCTTCTTTTTTTTATTGTTCTTTACAAAATAGCTACCTTGATTTTAGTGAAATCTTATATTCTTTTACATACAGTGTACTGTACATCCTCACTCAATATCCCGAGCCAAAAAATCTATTCTGTGGGATCGCTTCTTCTTTCCGACCTATCCAGTTAAATTTTTCACTACATTATGACTTAAAAAATATTACGATTTTTGAAGCTATTGTATCATAAAAATAACCGTAAAATCAAAAGTAAAGCTATTTTAAATCCGCAAACGGTTTTTTGTTTATAAGTAAAAAATATGTCAAAATCAATCTGAAAATCTCCAACACAGTACTTGACCCATAATGCAAGAAATCGCAAAAGAGCACTACATCCTACTAATATAATTATAAACGCGAAAGTTTGTAAGAATGTATGTATGGATGTACGTTTATTACTCTTTCACGCAAAAACTACTGAATGGATTTTGATGAAATTTTGCAATAATAATGCTCATAAATCAGAATAACACATAGGTTACTTTTTATCCCGGAAAAAAGTGCGGTTCCCGTGGGTTAGATTTGTTTTTGTTTCAAGCGAAGCGAGGGTGAGTCGCTAGTATAATTTATAACCTTATATTACATGATATGACAACACTATTACTATCCAGAATATTATCAGCCGTCGTAGCCTGCTTCCTGAGGATTTTCCGGTGACGGAACAAGCGTTCGTTGAGTAGGATCGATATGATGTTTTGTATTAACGTACAGTGCACAGTAAACAACTATTCTGTTGATACTAGCATTGCCCGAGGCTCCGTCCACGTTCAGATGACCAAAAACAAAATTCTTAGGTTTTACATATTAGTATACTTTTACATGGCATATTTTGTATTTTTTCTCAGATATAAGACATTTTCCTGCGGTAAAAAGTATCGTAGTGAAACAACAAGATCCGTTGACAGACTGTTTATTTGACATCTCAATCAAATCACATTTTATTCTACATCTTTCCCTATAATAATGAAAGTAACATGTAAATACAAATAATTATAACTAATAAATAATACTATTATAGACTCAAATTTAAGCAACATGCATTTATCTGCTAATTACTAATTATTACATATTTTTTTTTTAGAAACATCTTTTAATTCTATCCCTAGCTTTATTTGCAGCTATCCTGGTTTGTCGTGCTTCGTTATTTTTACTAAAGCGCAGCGGTGAACAGTTATCAGAATCACCGACTTGTAGTTGGGAAGAACAATGTGTAGCTAATTCAGCACTACCTGAACTGTCACAGTCCCTTACCATGACCTTATCGTCCGGGATCATCATTTCTGAATGAAATGAATGAAATGAGAAAGATCATTTTGAAGCTTAACCAGGTGCTTGCTTTTTCTCCTAAGACGTCTACCAGTTTTGTCAATTTTTTTTTTTGTCAATTTGTCAAAACAAAACACGAGCGTGGTTGTGGCGCACGCCCTACTACCCGAGCCTCACGACCCTTTTTCCCATCATCTCTTGTGATTACATTATCACCAATCTGTATCTCGGGCATTGTACTAGTTTTTTTATCGTACCAGGCCTTTTGGTTATTTTGATTTTGAATCATAGTAGCGTGGTCTTTTGCGTTATCCCTAGCAGGTTGTAACTTTTCAGGATGAATGGGTAAACGAGTGTTGAGTCGTCTACTCATTAGTATTTCAGCTGGACTCGCTAAACCATTTCTTGGCGTAGACCTAAAATTCAATAAACTTAAGTAAAAATCAGAGCCATCGGAGAGTGATTTAATAAGCAAAGATTTAATTGTTCGCACCGTGCGCTCGCTTTTGCCATTTGACTGGGGATAATTTGGCGAGGACGTTGTGTGCATAAATCCCCAACTCTCACTAAATGATTTAAAGTCTTTTGACGCATAACATGGATCATTATCTGTGATCACTTCACCAGGTATACCGTGACGTGCAAATTGGTCTTTGAAAGCTAAAATTACGGATTTAGACGACATTGAGCTTAAGGGACAAACTTCAACAAAATTTGAAAAATAATCCACTAAAATCAAAAAATGTTTTCTGTTATACTCAAATATATCAGAGCCAATTTTTTGCCACGGCAGGCTTGGTATTTCATGAGGAATCATAGGTTCTTTGCGTGGCATCGCCGCATGAGCAATGCATGTTTTACAACGACGAACCGCCACCTCAATGTCATTGGACATGCCTGGCCAAAACATTACCTCACGAGCCCGTCGTTTGCACCTGTCAATACCCAGGTGACCCTCGTGAACTCTTGCCACCATTTCTGAACGCAGAGCCTTTGGAATATACACTAAGTTATCTTTAAACAAAATACCATCAATAAATTCTAGAGAGAAAACGACGAACACTCTCATCTACTTGATATTTTTGCTGTGGCCATCCGTCTTTTATATAGTTTATTAAAGCGAGACATTCTTTACCTGTAAGAGTATCGGGATCCTAGGGGTCGAAATATCGAGCGACGTCCAATTTAGATGTCATCTGGAAGAAAAAGCCAAATTGGCTTCCAAAAAAATGGGTGTCCTTAACAGAGCGAAACAGTATTTCACGTCAGGGCAGCGACTTTTGCTTTATAAAGCACAGGTTCGCCCTCTCATGGAATACTGTTCTTTTCTCTGGGCCGGCGCCCCCCAATACCAGCTTCTTCCATTTGACTCTATCCAACGCCGGGCAGTTCGTATTGTCAACGATCCCGTACTCACAGACGACTTAGACACTCTAAGCCTTCGGAGAGATGTTGGCTCTCTGTGTGTTCTCTATCGTCTATACAATGGAGAGTGTTCCGATGCACTTTTTGACATGGTGCCACCGTCGCGCTTCTATCATCGCACCCTTCGCCGTCGGGTAGGATGTGATCCACACATTTTAGATGCTTGGCATTCTACAAATGTACGTGCGTCTCGATCTTTTTTACCTCGCACGTGCAAGATGTGGAATGATCTTCCTCCCGAGGTATTCCCTGAGCGCTTTAATATGGGGCTCTTCAAGAGTAATGTCTATAGGTCCCTTAAAGGCCGGCAACGCATTCGCAACTCCTCTTGTGTTGCAGATGTCCATGAGCGACGATAGCCACTTACCATCAGGTGGATCATTTGCTCGTTTGCCCCTTTTTTTCTATAAAAAAAAAATGCAAAAGGTGTTGATATCACAACCACCAGATGGGTGGAATATATGCTCTCCAACCGGTGTGCGATAGTTACGCTAAACGAACACTCGCACAACTTCTACACTACAAGAGGCTGTCCGCAAGGAGGAGTTCTTTCACCCCTATTATGGACACTAGCTGTAGACCTACTACTTGTAATCATGGCAGATCTTGACTACGATACACAAGGCTATGCAGATGACCTTGTTGTAGTAGTAAGAGGTCCCTGCCTGAACACAATTTCCACCAGGTTACAAGGGGCTCTAAATACCATCACAAGTTGGTGCAGAGAAAATGAATTATCAATAAACGCTGATGAAACAGTTATTGTACCATTTACCAGGAAAAGGAAGCTTGAAAGGCTAACTGAACTCAGACTCAATGGCAAAACCCTTAAGCTATCAAATGAGGTAAAGTACCTTGGAGTCACTATTGATCAAAAGTTGACCTGGAACTCTCACCTCAACAACATTATACAAAAAGCCAAAATGGCCCTCTGGATATGTTGTCGAATGGCTGGAACCAAGTGGGGCCTCAAACTCAAAATGGCTCTCTGGATGTACACCGCTGTGGTAAGGCCGATTATAACATACGCCTCAGTCGTATGGTGTAACAAAACCAAACAAAAGACAACTATGAGTAAACTAGACAGCGTACAACGGATGGCATGTCTAATCATCACGGGAGCCTTCCATTCGGCACCAGGCGACGCTCTAAATGCTTTGTTGGACATAGCTCCGCTATATCTCCACGTGCAAAACGAAGCTAAATCTTGCCTCTACAGGCTCTGTACACAATCGAATGTAAAGTTGCAATCGCAATATATGAACAAACTCAAATAGTTGACATTCGAACACGAAACTCTAAAAATGCCAGTCGATGGCATGAGCACAGAGTATAATTTCACAAAACAGTACCAAATAGATCTTCCCAATCGGGACATGTGGCTAAAAGACCAAGAGTCTCACAAAAAGGGTAGTCATGTTTGGTTTACAGATTGGATCCAAGAAAGGACCTGATGTAGGGTGTGGTATCTATGGCCTTAAGCCTAGATTTGACATGAGTGTCAATCTGGGCAAGGAGGCCACCATCCTTCAAGCTGAGGTCTTCGCCATTAACAAATGTGCTGAAGTCATCCTGGAAAGAAAGCTTAGAAACCAAAATATCTACATCAACTCAGATAGCCAAGCAGCACTTTTGGCTATAGATTCTCTTGAGACCAACTCTAAGTTGGTTAAAAACTATACGGATAATCTGAATGTCCTGGGCACATCCAACAGAGTTACCCTCAGATGGGACCCGGGTCACTCAGGCATATATGGGAATGAAAAGGCTGATGCATTGGCAAGAAGGGGCGCTTAAACCCCAGAATGTGGCCCCGAACAATTTTGTGGTATTGCAAAATTATATACCTACTCAATTTTCAAAATTCACTGCAATCGCTAAGCACTTCAAGAGTGGCAATCCACTTCTGGACAAACACAGTCTAAAGCGCTAATTAAGGGATATCGCAAAACGTTTACAAAAGAGTTGCTTCAACTCAACAAGTATAAAACCAGTGCAGTAACCAGAATACTTACTGGTCACTGCAAACTCAATAAACATATGTTTACCCTCGGCCTCAGTCAGACCGCAATGTGCAGACTATGCCATGAGACAGAGGAAACTGCTATGCACATCCTCTGCTCGTGCGGTCCACTCATGCACCGCAGAAGTATCTATCTAGGGCAGCGTATTATGCAACCGGAAGAGATACAGATGCTCCCCGCTCAGAAAATCTGGAAGTTCCTTTAGTCAACAGGACTAAGCGGAGAACTTTGAACTCATTTTAAAGGGAGCTACAATGGACCAAAACTGGTCGACGTAGCTAGGGCCGACCACGGCACCACACCCAACATAATAATAATAATAATAATAGACAGACAGACAAACATTCTAAAAACTAAAGATTCTGCCTCTGTATCGATAATAATGTCTATTTCAATAAGATTTTCCAAAAAATATTTAATGTACAGATTCGGCTTAGTTACAATTTTCAACCGACTTCAAAAAGGAGGAGGTTGAAAATTCGACTGTTGTTTTTTTTTATGTTTGTTACCACAGAACTCCGTCATTTATTAACCGATTTGGACAATTTTTGTGTTGTTTGAAAGTGTATACTTCCAGATTGGTCCCATTTAAATTTGTAAAAAAAAAATGCTAATGCTAATGATGAATTTAACCTACTTCTAATTGTCATATTGACTTGAAACTTTGCAAGTGTTTCTATTTCCGTTGATAGTACAGTGGTTCGGTATTGTTGACCTGATCTGATGGTAAGGCCAGAAGGTGGATAGGTGGTTCTCTTTAACGGCTTATAGTAGATACTTTGAGTTTGGGCTTATTTTGTTTGATTTGACAAGCCTAACACGTTAGAACTCTTACTTTGCTACTACTGTATACACTAAAAAGGGAAAAATAAAAACTTTTTAACAAAAATATAAAAACCGACTTCAAACAAAAGCACTAAAAAGTAAAAAATAACTGATTGATAGTTTCCATTTACTATACATACCTAATCAAATATTTTCGAAGTCGGTGTGCTTTGGCTAAGTAATTAAATACATACCTAATCAAATATTTTCGAAATCGGTGCCAGCCCATACAAAGCAATCAACAGTAACAGTAAAGCAATCAGCCAATACAAAGTATCTTGCAGATTCCACGAGACACTGCAGCATCAGGCCTAAGTTGTATCTATATATAACTCCCCTGTTATTGCGCCGGTGGTTAATAAAAATAAATATTGAACTTGTAGCGTTTCGAAACTTCTACTTTACCTTAACTATATCGTGATTTATAGAGTTTGCTGTTTGACGGGCTGTCTTTGAATTATTTGTTAATAAGTTTTCTTAAATTATCATTCTCTTCGTATTTTATTTATTAATATTTATTACAATTATGTTTATAAAAGTAAAAGCAGAATAGTTATTAATAGTAAGATCGTCCAACAACAAATGTCTGAAACATTTGTTACCAGGTGAAAAGTATTTTATATGAATCATAATCTATTAAATCTAATAAGTTTTTTTTAAATATGGCCCGTACTTTGAATTTTAATCTACAAGTACATATTATACTAGCTTTTGCATGCGTTTTTGCTCAATTTAAGT